GGGGTGGGGGCAGGTAGGCCAGGCAGGGGGGGGAGGGGAGGGAGTGGCTAGGCCCGGGCTGAGGGCGCCGGGGCGGGGCGGGCTGATGCTGCTGTCCTGTCCTCCGCAGTACTTCACCTACAGCGTGCTGCTCAGCCTGCTGGCCTGCTCCGTGTTCCTGCAGATCAGCTGCATCGGGAAGCTGGTGCTCATGCTGGCCATCGAGCTCATTTACGTGCTAGTCGTTGAAGTGCCCGGCGTCACGCTCTTCGATAACGCCGACCTGCTGGTCACCGCCAATGCCATGTACGTGGAGCCTCTCACTGACCCTCACTGTATCTGGGGCGTTGTAGGAAGACCTGAAGAGCAGGAGGCGGAGTCCTCGTTCCGCCGGGAACCTGGAAGGAGCATCTAGTGCCTTCCAGCCCTGAGCACCTGGACAGAGCACCACAGGGTGGTGGGGGTAGCATCCGGGGCCCTCGGCCTCAGTGCTGGCCTGAGGGGTGCTGTCACCTAACTCCAGGTGACTGGCTCCTCAGGCCTGAGGGTCAAGGCTGGGCAGATCAGGATAGCGGGTCTGCGGGGTGCCACTGGCTGTGCACCTGGATGCACGTCACCCCTTTTCACTCTCGGCAACTGAGTGGTCAGCAGGCCCTCCACGAGGCAGGGTAGTTTGTGCACTGCTCAAGGCTCCCGGTCAGGAGGGCAGAGCTTAGGGCTCACGGCCCAGAGATGGCGGGTGTGAGGTTGGCTCCGTATCAGCCTGGCCGCCCAGTGCTAGGTGTCAGCTAAGGGAAAGGAGCCCTGGCTGAGGGTCGAATCGGGTGTGAATCAGCCTCAGGCACACGTTTGGTTGTTGTCCTGAGCCTGTTTCCCAGTGGGATGCGAATGGCACCGTGTATGTAAAGTGGCTGATTCCAGGCACCCTCTGTCCCCACTTCCACCCCTGCACGCATACGCCGAGCAGCGCAAACGCATGTGACAGGCCTGTGTCTCCTGAGAAACTGCACTTCCTCGGATTTAGACAAAGGGACCTGTTCATCCATTTGTTCTTTCACTCATCCGTTCATATAAAAAGGTTTATAGAGGGCCTGCTGTGTGCCGGACACTGAGCTGGGCAGCGAATGCACTATCATGGAGACGTCCCTTTTTCATGAAGGGACTCCCTTTTTCATGAAGGGACTGCCATCTGAGAAAATGGAGGAGTGATGAAGGATCTAAGTGGCATTCAGGAAGGTGTGGGCGTTGCCATGGGGCTGTGGGAAGGTGCTGGGAAGACATCGGTCTACCGGAACAGTGCAGGCCGCAGTCCTGGGAGGGGCGGGCGAGGGCTGGTGCCTTTCTACCTGAGGATCAGGGCTGGGCCCGGGAACTTCCCCTTTTTTCCATCCTGCTCCAGCCTCCTCTCCCACTGCTGAAGCTGGCAGCCGAGAATGGAGGTCGGTTCTGGGTTGGGAGGCCCTGGTTTGGCTGCAGAGCAGCGCTGTCCAGTAGATGAATCATGCAAGCCACATGCGTAATTGAAAATGTCCTAGTGGCTGTATTGAAAAGATCAACAGTGCAGTTAGCTTTAACAGTATTTTATTTAGCCCACATATCCCAAGTAAGGCCTTTTTAATATGAAATCAATATAAAATTATTTATGAAAGACTTCACCTTTTTTCCACAGTAATTCTTCAGAACCTAGTGTGTACTTTGCACACACAGCACTGGCCACATCGGAGGCCACACACGGCCAGCGGCTACACCCCAGGGGTGTGGTGCAGCTGGTGCTAGGTGGCAGGGAAGGGCAGGTGGGAGGGACAGGCTGCTTGCTGCCCAGGCGGGAGCTGTGGGGAGGGAGCGCCTCCCAGGGTCCCTGGTAGGAGCCTCGTGATCTGTGCTTCTGACCAGGTGACCCTGGGCCTGTGCTTTCTGCACACCTCTCACCTTGAAAGTGCCCTTGGATATAGAGGGGTGCGGGAGGAAGGGGCAAAGGGGCAGCATTAGTGGACCAGCAGAGCAGGGCTTGAGGGGAGGTGGGAAGCAGAGCGAGGGGGTGCAGAACGGGCCTGGAGGCTGTCTCGGGTGGAAGTGCAGCCCTGAACAATCTCCCTGTCTTCTGTTCGCAGAGACTTCAACAACAACGGGACCTCCCAGTGGTGAGTCGATGCGCCTCCTTTGACAGGGCCGCTCCCTGCCCTCAGTACAGAGCAGGCAGAGGGCAGCCACGGCCCAGGGGAGAGTCTTGGTGGCAGGTGGGCAGTGAAGGGGGAGGCTGGAAGGGCAAGGAGTCTCTCTCCTCTGGGGGTAGCTGGGGTCCTGGTGGGGTAGATACCCTTGTTCACTTTGACCCCCACCTCGTCAAGATGATTGACAGGCTCAGTGGCCAGGATCATATCATTCTGTGGGCTTCATTTCAAAGCATGTAGTCTCAGGCTCTTCCCTGGGAACCAGTAGGAGGATCCCAGACAGGAGAACAGACATCGGTGACTAGGGAAAGGAGTGAGGGGTGTGTGCGGTTAGGCCCTGTGTCAGGGGCTGGGCCTGGGCAGGGAGTCCTTCTGCAGCATTCAGGGTGTGGGCGCTGCTGGTACAAGGAGCAGGCCTGGGGGACCGGCAGTTAGCGTAATGGCTATGTCGCTGGACTCCTATGTAGTCAACCGCGGTTCGCGTCCCGGACCCGGTGGCTTAAAACTCACGCCAGGCATGTGTGCATGCATGCCCAAGATCCTGAGAGGAGAATGGAGGAGAAGGGATTGCGGCATGGCCATCCCCCCTGGGAGGTGATTTCTCGTCTTCTGTCTCTCTGTCTCTGTCTGTCTGGTGAGCGCACATGCCCTATAGCGAAAACCTCTCCAAAAAAAAAAAAAAAGTTGCAGGCCTGGAATGGCTGCCCTTACTGCGAGCACGTAGTACTAACGTTAAGGGAGGCGTGATTACCGTAGTCGCAGCCAGGTGCGAGTGCCTCCCGCTGTCGAGTCTGCACCAAGCATTCTGTGTACAGTCTCTTTCATCCTTTCCAGTCTTGAAATGGGGGTGATATTGTTACCCCTCTACAGAGGAGGGAACGAGAGTGCAGAGGAGTTAAGAGATGTGCCCAGAGACAGGGCAGCCCGGCCTGCTTGACTCTCCTTTTAGTACACCCACTGCTCCTGGCCTGGTCACTGGGACGGACCTGGGATGTACATGTTGCCTTTTAGAAGAGCCAATCCAGCCTAGCGTGACCCAAGGAGAGCTCCTGAGTGATGGGGGGTGGGGGGTGTGAGGCATTGGGAGGGGCATAGTGGCTGCCTGAGCTGCAAGAATGCCCACGAAGACTTCCTGGAGGAAGCATACCTTAGGCAAAGTAGAAGTGGGGGGATGAGAAGGGGAGGAAGCTGTAGAGGCGAGAAGGTAAAAGCTGTGCGCACGAGGGTCTTCAGAGCCTGCCCGAGGTGCCAGGGAGGTCTCAGGCCTGTCTGCCTCTCCCCTGCAGCCCTGAGCATGCGACCAAGGTGGCGCTGAAGGTGGTGACGCCCATCATCATCTCGGTCTTTGTGCTGGCCCTGTACCTGCATGCCCAGCAGGTGGAGTCCACTGCCCGCCTCGACTTCCTCTGGAAACTGCAGGTGGGTGGCCTTGGACTGGAGCTGGCGGCTCAGGATTGGGGATGCAGTGTGGGCGAGTGACCAAGGGGGGACCGAGGGAACGATCTGGTCCGGGCCAGGCAGTCTGGGCCTCAGTCTTCCTGCTCAGGCCTCAAGCCACTGACTGGTCCGTGTCCAGAAGGCTGCTCCTTGCTCTCTGAGGCCGAGAGGCAAAACCCTGGAGGTTGTTCCACACAGACCCTCTCTTGAGAGTGCTGAGCCTGCTGGCCTGGGAGGTCAGCCTTGAGGTCGGCAAGTACTGACCGAGCACTTCCCTCACGGGCCCGGGGCAGGGACAGGGGCGTGTGATGATCCCACGCCAGAGGTGAGGGAGGGGCGGCAGGAGGTGAACAGAGGTAGAGGTGGCAGGAGCCTGGCCAGAGGGAGGGGACGGGCAGACCAGACCAGACCTGGCTTGGAGGCTCCTCCAGAGGAGCTTGGACCGCGGGCAGGAAGCCTGGCCAGGCGGCCGAGCAGAGCCGGTAGGGTGTTCAGGGACACAAATGTGCCCGTGCCGGGCGCTCAGGCGGGCTGAAATCCTGCTGGCCCTCAGTTGCCTGGGCTGCGTGCCTGTGCCCTGAAGATTGCACCTGAAGGAAAGGCTGCTCCAGCCAGGCCAGAGTGCTCCCATGTGAGCAGCTGCCGTGCCGCCCCCAGGGACCTGCTGGACCGCAGGTGGTCAAGGGCAGACTGCCTCAGACCTCTGATTCCAGTCACGCCCCTCACAGACAGATCTGGCCCAGCCCTTCGACCTCTCCGAGGCCAGCCCTTTCTCCAGACCACTTCAGCCCCTCCATTCCACTTCTTATAAACATCGAGACGAAAGGCTTCAGGCTCGGGCCGGAGGCCTCAGCTTCTCTTTGGTGATCAGTGAAGACGGCGTCTGGTCGCTCTTCTGCTGGGTACTGTGCAGGGGTCTGGTCGGACTGGAGCTCTGAGGTCTGCAGTGGCCATGCCCTGGGAGGTCTCCGCAAGTGTTCTGTGCAGAGGGCCCTTTGTAGAGCCCCGGGCTGGAGCCACCTGGGGGTGAGTGTCCAGCAGGCACTGCAACTCCTCAGCTCCTCCTGCCTCACCGAGCCCCTCTCCTTTGGGGAAGTCCCCGCTGAGCTGGCTTGCTACTGAGGACTGATGGCGCTCTGTGGGACCTGGGGCCAGTGTCCCTCCACTTCTGGGCTCACACGCCCCTACCTCCCCGTGGCCCCCAGGGAAGACTTAAGCAACTCACTTGGGTTGCAAAGGCCTCAAGAAGAGTGAGCCTGTCACTCGGCCTCCCTGCAGCCTCTGGCCCTTCGCCTGGAGGTCCCAGAGTTGCTGCCTTAGAGGATCTTCCCCCTAGACCAGTGGGACTAGATCCTTAGAAAGTGTGCCAGCTCCTTCCCCCAGACAGCCACCGCCCACAGGGAGGGGCAGGGCCTGAGTCGCAGTCCCGGACCAGGTTGGGATAGAGACGGGTCTACATTTGGTTACACAGGCCCAAGCAGGGTGCGAGGTCTTTGAGCCAGCGGTCTTTTCCCTGCCTGCTTTCCCAAAGCAGTCACCCTAGTCAGAGGGCTGCTCTGTCTGCCGTCGAGGTTGAGGAAGCCAGAAGACCCCACCCTGTACCCTTGTGCCCCCCAACACTCTGATCAGTTGGCTCCTTGCACACCTGGGTGTATGCCTGCCTCAGCTTTGACCCCCGAGGGCCACTAACCCGTGTCTCTGCACCGTCCCCTTCTCCTGGAGGGTGAGTGACTGTGAGCTCCACCAGCCCAGGAACCCCTGGGGGAGCCAGTCACTTCCTAGCTTCTGCAGCAGGTCTGCTCTTGTGGGGACCAGGAGACCGGGCAGGGCCTTGGGCCCCTTTTCCCAGGGCCAGTTGAAGTTGCCTTGCCAAACTGCTTTTTTGATCGCATTTTCCAGTATGGAGAGGAACGTGGAAGGGGAGCCCCTGGAGAGCTGTTGTGCTATGTCGGGCGTGGCTTTAGGACTGTCCCTTTCCCCCGCAGCCTGGTTCTGGTCTTGGGCAGAAGGAGCCTTTCAGCCTCTCCTCCGGGACCTGTTCGGGGCTTCTGTCCTCAAGATCAACACCCTCTGTGCATCACCTTCCAAGAGGCAGGCAGGAAAGTCTGATGCTAATAAATGTCCTTGTTTCCTGATGGTCAAAGTGGTGTTCTTTAGAGAAAACTTGGAAGTCGGGGCAGCAGAGAGAGGACAGACACCAGCCCCTGTGGACCCCGGGCCGCGCTGGCGTTTACGCTGTGGCTCAGTAGGCCGCCTTGCCCCTGTGTCCCCAGGCCACGGAGGAGAAGGAGGAGATGGAGGAGCTGCAGGCCTACAACCGGCGCCTGCTGCACAACATCCTGCCCAAGGACGTGGCCGCCCACTTCCTGGCCCGCGAGCGGCGCAACGACGAGCTGTACTACCAGTCCTGCGAGTGCGTGGCCGTCATGTTCGCCTCCATCGCCAACTTCTCCGAGTTCTACGTGGAGCTGGAGGCCAACAACGAGGGCGTTGAGTGCCTGCGGCTGCTCAACGAGATCATCGCCGACTTCGATGAGGTGCGTACCGGGGCCTGGGCACTGTGGCCGGGCCTTCTCCCGGTATCACAGACAGATGAGGAAGCTGAGGCCCCAGGCCTTAGGTGCCCAAAGTCACTGGCAGTGCGTGGCAGAACTGGGGTTCCAGCCCAGCTGCTTGAACGTGAACCTCGAGGGCCAGACCAGCTAGCTCACCTGCCGACCCTCGTCCACTTTTCCTCTCCCGCGTCTAGGGCTGCACAGGCCTCCAGAGGGCGATGCCTGCCCCAGGGTGAGAGAGACAGGTCGGAGGACTCCCGGGCTAAGGGGCAGGCAGGGCCAAGACGTTTTTCCATTTCTTTCTCAAAATCCTCTTGAGCACCTCGTTTGTGTAGGCACCAGGGGTGCAGTCTCTGCCCTGGGGCCACCCAAGTAACGGGTGTGAGGGGGCAAGTGCGGGAACACAGGATGTAGGTACAGAGTACCGGGGAGGGGGTGATGGATGATGGAGCAGACGGCGCTGGGCTGTCAGAGGAAGCCCACGACACTCCTGGGCAGTGGGCTAGCTGGAGTCGGCTGACAGGGGTCTGGGAAGCCTTCTGATAGGGCCTAGAAGCAGGAAAACGACATCTCGTGGGACAAAGATGAGGAGGTGTCCCGGGTAGGAAGGGGGAATGGCCATCTAGCCCCTGTTGGTGACAAGAGACCCAGTGGTGACAGTGACTTTGTCCTGGGGGATCTCGGTGTGGGGTGAGCAGGCAGGTCGCTGTCACTGTCAGTGGGTGCCGACCCTGTCAAGGAGTAGCAAGGCCTCACACCGAGTCACGGAGGAAGACAAAACCCACCACGGGCAGGGGGGACGTGTGAAGGGCCGTGCTGCTGCACTTCCCTGGATGTCCTCTGTCCCTCCCGTGAACCTCAGTGCCCAGACTTGGCAGTGACCTTGGGTTTGGCCTCTTCCTGTCCAGATCATCAGTGAGGATCGGTTCAAGCAGCTGGAGAAGATCAAGACCATTGGCAGCACCTACATGGCCGCCTCGGGCCTCAACGACTCCACCTACGACAAGGTGGGCAAGACCCACATCAAGGCTCTGGCCGACTTTGCCATGAAGCTGATGGACCAGATGAAGTACATCAACGAGCACTCCTTCAACAACTTCCAGATGAAGATCGGTGAGCAGAGCCCGGGAGCACCGAGTCCGGGATGCAGCTGGGGCCGAGGGCTCACAGGGGCTTTCCTTTCCTGGCACGGTCACTATTGAGGCCCAGCAGCAGAGGCGAGATGCCAGTGGCAGAGGCTACTCTTACCTGTGGCCCTGCCCAGGGGGAGGCGTGAGCACTGGTCACTCAGCAGAACCTGCCAGGGCCTGCTGTGGGCGCTGGCATTCGGGCAAGAGGTCACCCTCTTTTGAGTTCCCACCTCACTCCTGCATTGGGAAGGCCTGGCCAGCCCCGGGCTGTGCCTGCCTCAGAGGCCTGGTAGGAGGTGCCTTATGCTGCGGGCTCAGGGCCCCAGGTGGCCACTGCATGGGTAAATAACAATACATTCGCTGCAAGTAATGTTGACCTAACCGCAGTGTTTTATTTAAGTGTCCCACATGGCCAACTGTGTTTCGAGTCCTGGACCTGGTGGCTTAAAAATCACGCCAGACACATGTGCACACATGCCCAAAATACCAGGAGAAAAATGGAGGAAAGGGATTGTGGGGGAGGGGGGCGATTTCTCACGATCCCCCTTCTTTGTCTCTCTGTGGCAAGCACACATGCCCTAGGGCAAAAACTTAAAAAAAAAAAATAAAAAGGTAAAATGTGTTCCAAATTCACTCAGTAAAAATGAAAAGCAATAAAATCAAATACTTGATATATTTTTCAATACAAATATATAAAGATCTTAGATCAACAAATTTGCAAGTTTACATTCTACAAAATTGTTAGCAAAATGGGTAAAGTGAAATATTTTTAAAAACTAAACACAAAGAGAAAATAATCGTGTAAGAGTGACACAAAATATTTCAACTTTTTAATTTTTGCCAGAGGCTGTGTGCACTCATTAGAGAGAAACAGAGACAGAGAGTGGGACAGAGAAAAAGCACCCCCCAAGGAAGATGGTCACACCACAATCCCTTCTCCTCCACCTCTCCCTTTCTGCAGGATTTTGGGCATGCATGCATACGTGCCTGGGGTATTTCTCAAGCTGCCAGTCCAGGACTCAAACCAATTGATCATGTAGGCCCCAGCTGCCCCATAACCACCAGGCCATGGAAACACCCTGAAATATCTCAACTTTTTAAAAAAGAGTGATCTTACAAAACAAAATGAGTTCATGTTCATTGTGGAGTTCCACGTGGTGAGTGGAGTCTTCCAGCGGCTGTGGAGCTTCTCTGACCCACACACATTGGAGAGAGGAAAGGTGAGGGTCTGGTGATAGGCAAGTCCATGTATCTTCCCTGGACTCCTTTGTCAGTGCCCGGCCTTGGTGGCTTTGTGGGAGCTTTGCTTTTAGTGCCGCGTCTCTCACACAAGGAACGATGTGGCTTTAGGACACTCGTGGTGTCCGGGAGGCAGCGACCAGGTTGCCGCAGAGGAGGACTGGGGATTCCGAGCAGTGACTCTGGGTCAGTTTCAACATAGGGTTATACTTACTTGCTCAGAAAAATCTTTGAACCCAAACCATGTGTAGCTGTTTTTCTTTCTCTTGTACTTGATTTTGTTGATTTATCACCCCTACCTTTTATTTGACAAGTTTCAACTCTATAGAAGAGTTGAAAGAATCACCCAGTGAGACCCAGATATATCCACATTCTCGTACACTTGCTCCACACACAGTGGTTTCAGAACCACAGCTCTGAGTTTGTTCTAGAAAGCCGGGCTATTTCTGCAGTTCGTCCTTAGGCTGTGTCTTACAAGCGAGGGCAGTCTCACGGAGCACTGGTTACTTTTGTGATGGAAGCTTGCCGTTACCATCGCGCTCCTCCGGGTTCCTGGAGGTGAAGAATGCTTTCTGAAAGAGCAGACCTTTGTTCTCTTCGGAATTTAGTGCATTATCAACTCCCTGGGTATGTCTCAAGCCATAAATGATTCAGATTTCAAATAAAAACACGTAACAGTAATTCACCATCAAAATACTGGCATTTCAGTTCTCAAAATTAGCACATCAAGACAAAATATTAGATTATTAAAAACCAATACTGTGGTCTGGAGACTCCGCTCTGGCTCGAGTGTCAGGAATCGGGCTTTCCCGGAACACGCTGGCTGGTTTTCTCCCGCGGGCTCAGTGCCTGTGGACATGGTCGGCTTTCCCTTTTGCACCGGCTTCTATAAGGCCCAGCCCTGCAGAGCCGGTCGGGGGCTTGCTCTGACTAAGGTGCAATCTTGCTTTTGTGCAGCACCGCCATTATTTTCCTTCCACACATCTTGTTCACTTACACTGGTGAGTGTTTTTCTTTTGTGTATATTTTATAAATGGCCTCAGCTGCTTTATTGGACCAAGACTCGGGACTGAGTGGCCGAATCTCCCAAGAGGTGATATGTAGCTGGGCAGGCAGCTGGGAGCCCCGTGTGGTTGATCTTTTCAGACTCGGGGACATTTGCCCTGATGGCCTTGGGTGTGAGAAATAGAGCCACCCTGCTCACAGCCTGGTCACAGGTGGACAGTCCACTGCTTGACAGGACAAGAGGAAAATCCTGGAGGGAAGTTTTTGAGGATCGGTGGCATTGCTGCCTGAGTACATGGCCATGGGGCCTATTTTAGAGCTTCTGTGGTGTTTCCAGTGCTGCCTTTTACACACAGGGAAGATAGGGCTCAAGGACCAGTGGGAGAGAAGGGATGTAAGAGGGGAGACATCCTGGAACGTGGTGACAGATGGAAGAGGTGCAGAGAATGCCAGCTGAGTCAGATACATCGGGGCATGATTTAGCCTGGAGAAATGCGGTGGGACAACAGCCCTGCAAAGGCTCGGGGGCAGGGCTGCTCGGGAACGTTCTGGGTGGGATTGGGAAGGTGGCGGGCGAGAGCAGAAGTGCTGGGGGGAGAGAGAAGTCCCTGTGGTGACCAGACACTGGTCACTGCAGTACTCCACCTCTGGCTCAGAGGCCCAGGACAGGATTACCTGGAAAAAGAGACCATGGTGGGGAGATGGGTTAGGAGCCAGGATCTGAGAGTGAGAAGGGTGGGAGGGAACAGAGCAGAGAGCTGAGGAAGAGGGAAATGGCACGTTCTGGTACGCTGAGTCTGAGTTGATGGTGAACAGTTAAATGTCACTGAGAGAGGGACAACTCAGAAAAGGCAATTGGGTTATGCAGATCGCTGGAGGCCCCGGAGAGGCTGTCATGGCGATGGACTTGCTGAGCACTGGCAGGTGGTGTGGACGACTGAACCAGTGCCTGTTGTCTTGCACTAGTGAGCATTCGAGAGGGGCAGAGAACTTGGGGACTGTGGGGTTAAGGCGGGCCTCGGATCTGAAGGAGGCAGGGTGTTTGTAGGCTGAGAGTCAGGGAGAGGCTGCAGCGTGCTTAAAGAAGGATGCCCTCAAGGGCAGGCGGAGCTAGTGCTAGTCTAACCTGATATTGTCCCCCGTAGGGCTCAACATCGGCCCTGTGGTGGCCGGGGTGATTGGGGCCCGCAAGCCCCAGTACGACATCTGGGGCAATACCGTGAACGTGGCCAGCCGCATGGACAGCACTGGTGTGCCCGACCGTATCCAGGTAAGTGCAGGAGCACTCACCACCACCAGGGGGCCCTCTGATGCCGAGAAGCCGCAGGGCAGAGCGCCCTCACTTCCCAGTCAGAAGTCTGCAGCCAGATTCCAGGCTGGGGGCGGGGGGTGGAGGTGGGAGTGGGGCGGGGTTGGCACCATGACTTGGAAGCTTGGAGAACAGGCTCGGTTCAGGCCTTCAGTACCTTGGACAGCGCTTCAGGCCTGTACAGAGCCCTCCAGTGGGCACAGGACGCAGGGTGGTAGGGGAGCAGGCTGTGCATGCCAAGCTGAGTGCCTAGTGGGAAGTCCCAGCACCCCCGCAAAGCAGGCACTCGGGAAGGACACACACAGGGGGCAGGGCACAGGGTCCCACCCACTGGTGCTCACAGCTTGCCCAGCCTGGTTCAGGAGAACCAGGGAAGGTTGCTGGTCACCAAAAAGGGGCCTGGCCAGAGACCTTCCCTTCTCTCTCCATTCCCTGTGCTCTGCTCAGGCCCGCCTCCATTCCTTCTGCCCCAGGCCACTAGGAGGAGGCCTGAGCTGACTGCAGTGTTGCCAGCATTCACCCTGGTTCCCTGCGAGGCCGAGGGGAGTTGGGCCCTGGCCTTAGTGTTCCCAAATGCCCATGGTGCTGCTGTAAGGCCTTCTGTCCACAGGGGTGCTGCTTAAATGTGCCTAACTCCCCCAGCAAGACCTCTGAACAAAGGGGTTAACCCCGAATATAGGCCTGGCCAGGCCAGCCCAGCCTGGCCAGCTTGGGGATGCTGTCTGGGGTGCCTGGGCTTTTTTTTTTTTTTTTTTTTTTTTTAAGGTTTTTGCTATAGGACACATGTGCTCACCAGAGAGAAAGAGACAGAAAGCACAAGGGAAAGTGAAAAATCGCCCCCCAGGGGGTAGGGAATAGCTGCATCAGAATTCCTCCTCCATTCTCCTCTTGGGATTTTGGGCATGCATGTACACATGCCTGGCATATTTTCCAAACTGCTGGTTCGGGGACTCAAACTGTGCAGTCAGCCATGTGGGATCCAGCTCCCTTAATCACTATGCCACCTGGCTGACCCTGGATAGCCTTTTCTCACCTCCACCCCTGTACAAAGGACAGAAGGAATGGCAAGGTAGGAACTACGGTCTTGAGAGATGGGGGAGAGGGGCATGTGTGCAGGGCTTCAAAAAGTTCACGGAAATGTGGAATTTAGTTCAAGTTTATTTTTATGCCCTCCTCCATGTCATTTTCCCCCTTACTACATATTTCCTGTGAACTTTCTGAAGGCTCTGTGCATATTTACAGAGTTTCTAACCCCATCCAGGAACAGTGTGAGGGAGTCTGTTGGCAACCACCACAGTGACCCACAACTCCGCTCTGCACAGGGCTTCCCCACAGGGACCCACACTGACAGCTAAGCAGGGCCTCCTCTCAGCAGCTCACGCAGCCCCTCTGCCTGGCCACTGATAGGCAGGCTGGGCTGGTACACTTGCCCGTGGTGCTGCAGGTGGCTGGGCTGGGGTTCAGGCCATGCTCAGAAGAGGCCCCTGGCTCATCTTGCCAGGCACTTGGCTGCGGGCCACTCCCACACCTGTCACCCAGCAGCAGTGCCGTGAGGTGATGCAGCCACAGTGAGTTCTCTTTGTTCCAGAAGCTAAAGCAGAGGCAGGCATGAGATCTGGATCTGAATCCTGGCTCTGCCGTTTATTAACTACATAACCTCGGGCCGGCGACTGAGATGTCTGAGCCTGAGGACAGCAGCAGGTAGTACGCAGAAAGAGGGAGTGGATAAACAGCAGTTCGCAAACTGGTGAAAAACAGTGGTTTTTGTTGTTGGATGTTGGTTTTGTTTTGTTTTTGTTTTTGCCTGAGGGCACGTGCACTTACCAAAGAGGGGCGGGGAACAGAGAGGAGATGAGCACACATCTCCCAGCATAGTCACACCACAATCCCTTTTCCTCCATTTCTCCATCCTGTCGGGACTTTGGACACACATATACACGAGCCCGGTGTGTTGCTCAGGCCACCAGGGCTGGAACTCAAATTGTGGTTGGCTGTGTGGGATTTGGCTTCCTTAACCACTAGCCTATGGGGCTGTCCCAAAAAAGTTTCTAAAAATCTTTCTGACCTGGGGGCAGCAGATGGCATACGCTGCTGGGTTCTCACATAGTTGACCATGGTTCAGGTTCCGGACCTGCTGGCTTAAAACTCATTGTAGGGACCAGCAGTTGGCAAAATGGCTATGTCGCTAGACTCCCTCATAGTCGACTGCAGTTTGAGTCCTGGACCTGGTGGCTTAAACTCACGCTGGGCACATGTGCGTATGTGCCCAAGATCTCCAGAGGGGAATGGAGGAGAAGGGATTGTGGCGTGGCCATCCCCCCTGGGGGGTGATTTATCGCTTTCTGTCTCTCTGTCTTTCCGGTGAACACACACACCCTATAGCAAAAACCTTTAAAAAAAAAAAAAAAAAAAACCCACACTGGATGTATGTGTGTGCGTGCCCAAAATCTTGAGAGAACGGAGAAGGGATTGTGGCGTGGCTATCCTCTGGGGGATGATTTCTCGCTATTTCACTGTCTCTGTCTCTCAAGGGAACACACATACCCTATAGTAAAAATCTCCCTAAAACAAAACAAAACAAAACAAAACAAAAAACCTCTCTGATCTGTCCCGGAGTGATACTTGAGTAAAATGCCCTGGTGACTTGCTTGGGTATTCACGCAGCCATGTTAGACTGCTATGGAAATTCCTGAACACCTCCTGTCAGCTCCTGGGCTTGTCTGGGCGCAGGACGAGGTCCTGGACCACAGAGAATGCTCCGAGTAGCAGAGAGCACCCATGAGAGACTCGTCACAGTGTCTGACTGCAGTCTGTGCTGAGTGACAGCTGTCATCATTCTCTCCCCTAAGGGGCCCTTCCATCAGCCCCCAAGGGTGCCCAGAGGGGAAGGGCTGCCCCACCCCGTGCCAGACAGTGCAGGGTTTTGCAGACGGAAGAGGTTTTGCCCCTGCAGCACGTTCACGGCTGAGCTCATCGCTGGCATGTCCTCTCCTCCTTTGCCTCCTCAGGTCACCACGGACATGTACCAGGTGCTGGCTGCCAACACATACCAGCTGGAGTGCCGAGGCGTGGTCAAAGTCAAGGGCAAGGGCGAGATGATGACCTACTTCCTCAATGGAGGGCCCCCGCTCAGTTAGCAGCGGCCAGCCAGTGGTGCCAGGCAGCCTGGCCTCCAGAGGAATGGAAACGGCTTCTTTGTGCGCCGAGTGGGCAGGTGGGAAGCCTGCGCTCCAGCCACATGGTTGTGCTGGGGGAGATTTTTCACTTTGACTCCAGAAGCAGCTTCTGCCTTTGCTGGTGGGCAGTGGCCTCCGTCCCAGGCCCCAGGGTGCCAGCGTCCTGCGAGCACCAAGCTGACCAAAGATGTTTCCTCTGTAGAAGACTCTGCTAGACTCGATCTGAAGCTTGAGTTTTCTAACAGGTGCTGCTGAGTGGGTGACAGGAGCTGCCGGAGCTGATCGACGAGGCGCGACCCAGTGCACAAGGGCAGGGCCGAGGAGGATGTTTTGGCCTCACATGGGTGGGTAGGCGGGCTTGACTCTGGCCTGGGGAACCCACGGGCCCCTAGGGATCTGCTTCTCTGTGAGCCTTTAATTTCAGACAGAGGCCACAACTCTGCTCACGGAGCAGCGTTCGGGCAGGAGAGCCAGCTTTGGAGGGCCCGTGGCCTTCACTGTGGTCCTTGCCCGCTCCTCCACCACAGACAGAGTGCCCTGTGAAGGAAACAGAACTACTTACGAGGGGGAGGCAGAGGACACCCAGCAAGGAGGGGTGGTTCTGAGAAAGAGAAAATATTTATTAAATAAAACAAGTTTCTGTGCCCTTCTTTAGACTATGCTAGTTGTATGCGTGTAAGAGACACAAGCAAATGAAGATGCCACTGGGGAGGGAGGGCGGGTATCCCAACTTGTCTTTTTTGTATTTTTTATTTTGTATTATGGAAAACCTTGGAGATCTAACAGATATACCAAATTCTATATTTTGTAAATTCTCTGTATTAGGAAACAGCCGGACCCGGCGGGGCGTTCGTGCGTCTGTACTGTGCGAGTTGGTGTGTGTGCTGGCGTGTGTGCCTGCATTCATGCTGTGGAACTGGTGTCATGCAGGATGCGTTTCCCTCATCCCAGATCTGGCAGTTCGGGCTTACCCGGGTTTGAGCGGCGCAGTGGCACATCCGTGGGATACCGTGTGTTCGGGCTGAGGAAGTGCATGGACGTGTTACCCCATCTCCCTCTGATACACGCATGCACCACTTCCCCTGAGTAAAATGCAAACTGAGCAGTAAGAACAAGTCTCATCTTTGCATAGCACGTGGAGGTAGAACCAGGGGAAGCAGCCGCAGCCTGTGACAGGCAGTGTGGCCACTGTCAACGCTCCACTTGTAGGATGTCTGATGTCACTGCCGGCAGAGGGCTGCCCCCCCCACCCCCCGCAGGCTCCTGGGGGCACGAGGAAGCTTAGCCTGCCTGCTACTCAGCTGGCCGAGGTACAGGTGACTCTCCCTAGAGCGGATCCCTCAGACCTGGCGGTGCAGTGGGTGGCCCTCAGGCTTGGGGAGCAGGAAAGGCCTTGCCTTCTCCTTGCGAACCAGATAGAGGGCTGGGTACAGCTCAGCTTCAGAGTCCACAGGAACAAGCTAGCAGGAATACTGTTTTGCCTGGTTTGTGTTTTGGGGGGAGGTAGCAGTTAAATATACCAGAAAAAGCTTTTTTTTTTTTTTTTTTATAACCTACGAGGGAGGCATTTAGAAAATGATTTACTACCACAGAGATTCAGACAGAACTCTTAGGGCTGTGGCCAGATCTTTTCTTTGCTTCTCAGGGCAGAACTATTCTTGCCTCCGCCACGAGCTTGAAGGAGGTGGGCAGCAGCGACGTGTGGCCGCCATGTGGTACCTCGATGCCCACGGGCACCACCCTCCCACCCACGCCCTGATTCCCCCAGCACAGACCTGAGAAGCAGAGCGGGCCGCCCTGAAACTGCCAGGCCTGCGTGTCCCTGCTTCTGCTCCCTCCTGAGTTCCGCACCGCCCCCCCTGCCCTGGCCACTGCAGGGCTTGCTTTCTCCCACTGTTGTTCGGTCCCGCCCTTCCACCTCGCTGCCAGTGGTGTCGGGTTTCTGTTTTGCTTCTACCTGAGTAAAGTGTGTGTGTGCTGAGTTCCACATGTGTTCCCCCTGTCGGTCAGGGCCACCCTGGCCTCCTGGGGGCCCTCCACCCCAGCAGTGACTGGTGACAGCGTGCAGTGCTAGCTCTTCGTTCCCTCTAAGGGGTGTGCACTCTTTTTATTCCTGCTCTTGCAAAAACGAATACGATTATGATTTCCCATGGAAATTGAAAAGCCTATTTAAGTAATTTAACTATTAAACACTTTCACTGGTAACGTGTCCTGGTCTGATTTGTAGCTTGGGCTGGGGGGCTCTGAGCATTTGGTGGCCTGCTGGGGAGGAGAGCTGCAAAGGCAGAGGACGTCCCTGAAGGGGGCAGCACAGGGCTGTCTAGATCATGCTGGCTGCAGACAGGGTCACTGTGGAGCCGGTGGGGGGCACTCAGCCAGTCTGTTCACCAGGATGCCGGGCAGCAGCGGACTGCAGAGAGCTGAGGGATGGGAGGAGAAACGACCACCAGGAGTGAAGGGGAGGTGAAATAGGGGATGGAACCAGAAAAACCCAGGGTCAGGGGAGGATGTTTTAAAGCAGTGAGCTGAGCATGCCCAGATGCCAGGGGCAAGAAAGGTAAAAACAGAACACAGGTCATCGTGTGGGAGGGCACCATGTGCAAACGGGTGAGCAGACCTCACCTGCACCTTCGCAGCTAATGATGCTGGCCCTCCCCGTGGGCCACACTGGGATAAGCCTGAACAGATGTGGTCTCACACTCAATCTCCTACAGGTAACTTCTCAGAGCCGCGGACTCTACCAAGAGGAAGGGAAAGACGGGAACAGGGTAGGCCCTGTTCGGCAGTTCCTGCTTATTGCACCCATGACATCAGGGTTTTATGTGGGTCCAGAAAATAAATCCAGAGGGGTTCAGTTGGATTACGTCTAACATGGGTCTCCACGAAGGACTTGGTGACAGACTTCACTGGCTTTGTCGCAATGGTGGCACGTGGATATGGGTGTACAGCCCCTGGTGTGGCACATCTGCTGTCAGGAAAGTGGCCATCACTAGGACTTGGCGTGAGTGTGGGGAACGACGTCGCTGTGTACAGGCAGGAGACTACTCAAGGATTTTCAGGCTGGGTACTTCGATGAGAAGGGAGACCAGGGATGTGGAAATTCACATTTTCGGGGCCTGTTGGCCTAATTGGGAACCTGCACTCCTGAAGAACTTCCATCTGCTGTGCTGACAGAGCCTGGGTCCTCAGCAGGCCCGTGACGCCACATCCGTGCACACACAATGCTTCCGCGACCCCAGACGAGTGCAGCTCAGCACCTGCGGGAGCCCTTCCCAGCCCGCCCCACTGAGCTAATCCGGAGAATTAGCGTTTCTCCCTTACAGAGTTCTCCCAAAGCAGCTAGTTCATCTCTACAGTATTAATTGGCAACACTGACTGGAAAAGATGCCAGTGATAGGTGGGGTGAGTTTTGAACATCACTTTAACGCCAGCTGGCAGCATATACCCCTAAAGCCAAGACCAGACTCGGCCAACACAGTGACACTCTGAGGTGGCAGCAGACTTGTGGGGAAGCACAGCGACGCTGCACTGGAAAAGCTGGAACCACACAGTCACCAGGTGGCCGCTATACTTTAAGACTCTCAATGTTACACATCCATTTTTAGAACTCAAAACAAAAATACCTGAGTGCATATAGTTAAATTATGCCCAGAGCCGGAGTATTTACATGTCCCCACGTGCAAAACTGGCCACGAGTCGTTAAGCAGCAGCATGAGCGCCCCAAAAGAGACGCGGCCTGTGTCACGGCAGGGCAGGGAAGCATTCACAGATGTGCAGTGCTCAAAAGTAGCGCTGAGCAGATTCTCGACGCCCTGAACCAGGACGCTGCAATGGCAGAGACAGCACACTCTGAATCCCCGCGGCTTTTGAATTTACCTAAATCAAAATAGCATGCTACCAAAAGGAATAAATCCCATACAGCTCCCCTTCAGGAGGAGGAGGAGAGACAGGGCTGGGCCACAGTATGGCCACTCCACCACACCGCCGTCCATGCCTAGCCCAAGTGCCAAGGTTGGTGGTGGTGAACGGTGTGGGAATAGCAGGTGGGCACTGCAGAGCAGAGGTGCCAGCCACGTCCACCTGGATGAACACCACGCGTGATAAAGGGCTTCCACATACTCTTCTTCCCTGTGCCTGCCCTGGTACTTCCCGAGGCTGGCCTGGTGCCACAGCGCTTCTGTCCAGTGTACCCATCAGAAGGGGACTGCTGAGCTAGCTGGCCAGGAACAGAGGGCGTGCCACACCTCACGGTTAACGATAGATGAAACCAGATCAGAAAAACCAGGCTTTTCTTACCTTTTCAGATGGTTTAGAAAGCCCTCTGTGGGTTCTCGAGAGAGGGAGGAAAACTACTTGCTGTCCTCTGTCTGTCTTTCCCCTTCACCTGCAGGGCCGCTGTTCTCTAGGTAGACTCAAGAACAAGGCCAAATGAGCACGTGGAGATGGCTGGTCTCCAAGGTCGCCTTAGGCATTCTGTTTCTAAACATTTATATGACTGCTCGTCCAGTGCCAGCCCACACGTATGGTGCAAACGTAAACACAGGCTAATTAAGACTAAGACGTTAGACGGGAGGTAGAAGCATTGTGCCAAGGGGGATCTCAGAAGATCACCTTCACGAACAAGTCCATCAGTCCTCGCACAGCCCTCTTCAGACACCTGCCCAGCGGCGGCCCCGAGCACAGCAGCAACACCCTGACCCCCACATGGTAGGTTCAGAGAGCAAGCAGAGGGGCCAGGAGGACAAGGGAGAGGGGAGAATGGCGAGAGGCCGGGGAAGGATGCACCAAGCAGGCGGGCTTCACGTCCCACTGGATTCCCAGCCTCCAACCCCCAGCCCCCTTCCCCGGCTCTCATGAGCAGAGCGGCCTCCACACTTGGTGAGGCTTCTTCATCCCAAGGCCGTTTCACATTGCTGGTCTATCAGGCCTGTGAATTTAGAGAAGTCTTACCAGAACCCATCGGGGGGCTTCTTCACAGATTTTTCCCAAGTCCAGCTTCTAATATAGGCCTCCATGGAATCTTGGGTCTGTTGGCATTTCTGGGCGAGCCTCACTTAGGCTAGTTTTCCAGTTCTGAAAGGTTTGCTTCTTTGTCATTTAGCCAGAGTGGCAGGTCCCCTGCTGGCTCACATGAGAGGTTTTGTTTGTTTTAATTTTTTAAAGCCATGTCACAAGTGTGCTTTCTAAGAGTGCTTTCAGCTCGTACATCCCCAGGCCCTGTCCTCATTGTGGTTGAAGGCAGCCACTGCGCCCACGCACCGCCTTTCCATCGGTACACACACACTCGCAGGACCCCACAAGGGGTGGCTCTAGGGCACTGCCATCCAAGAGGCCTGGTGGACCACGTTAGAACATCCAAAATTGAGTATGTTGGGGCTAAAATTCCGATGTCACAAGGGTAGGGCGCGGTTCCCAGAGGCCCCTCCCTCCCTCGCCAGCGCTCCAGTGCCTTGAGACCATGGGCGCTGGTGAGCACGGCCTCCTTCCAGGGTCTGACGGTGACCACCCTGCTTACCTACCTTGGGTCTCTGTAAGGCACAGAACACTCTGTAGGGACGCACCAGCTATACAGCATCTGGCAAGTGCGACCCCTCAGCTCTCTCCTGCTCTCTTCGGATGTGCACCCAGTGCCGCCCAAAAGTCTGCACACAGGTTCCACCTGCCAGGGTGGAGCACCTGCCTACCAGGAGTGTCAACAGGAGTCTCACCTGAGTGGTGCTTTCTGACTGGGTCCAGACACTGGCACAGTGGCAAGGCAGCTGGACCCATATGGGAAAGGTCCTGGGTTCACATCCTGAGACCTCCCTGAACAGGGTGTGTGTGTACCTGTGATCCGGGCTGCTGAGGTTGGGGTGGATGGCAGTGTGAAGATGCTCTTCCAAGTACTTGACTTTCTGTCAAGAGGCTTTATAAAAAGCCTCTTATAGGACCAGCAGATAGCAGAATGATTACATCGCTGGACTCCCACATAGTCGACCGCCATTCAAGTTCTGGACCTGGTGACTTCAAACACACCAAGAGGGCTGGCAGGTGGCGTGGTGGTTAAAGAGCACTGGACTCCTACATGACCCACCATGGTTCAAGTCCTGGACTGGGAGGCTTGCTTTCTCACCGGCCCCCGCCCCCCAGTGGTATATAAATAAATAAAGTAAAATTCTTTAAAAAAAAAAAATTCATGCCTGGTACACGTGCATGCATGCCCAAGATCCCGAAAGGAGAATGGAGGAAAAGGGATTATAGTGTGGCCATCTCCCCTGGGGGTGATTTCTTGCTTTCTGTCTCTCTGTCCCTCTGGTGAGTGCAAGCGCCCTATAGCAAAAATCTCTCAAAAAAAAAAAAAAAGCCCTCTTGCTATTTAATATTTCTAAAGGTATAGTAACAGCAACAAGAACAATTACAACACGTTGGCAAATGCTTACCTGGCACTTGCTGCACCGGGCTCTGTGCCAAGCACTTTACATTACTGACCCCTTGAACACAACGCTGTTTTGCGAGAGGCACTATCATTCTCCCCACTTCACACGTGAGGAAACTGAGGCAAACAAGTCAAGTGATCTGCTGAGGGCACGATGCTGGTCAAGAGCCAGAGAGCCTGCTTCCAAACTCTTCATCACTACGAACTGCAGAAGGTTCGCTTGTTTCTATGTTTTTGGTTAGTGTGTTCAGACGTGGGGACTGTTTGACACAGAATTCCCGTGTGCTTACTTCATGTCAAAGAGCCAGCGTATTCCGGCATTCCATAGGAAAAATGTAACACAGGAATGAACAATGACACTAACATGCTCTATCAAGAATGATTCCTTCATGAGTTTTACCACAAATACTAAAATGTATACACCTCCTTGTCCTCATACCTAAGGTACTCATAAGGTTCGCCGTCTGTCCAGTGTCACCGTTAGAAATGTGGGAATGTTAGGGAACTACTTACTCAGCCTAGTCTCTATGCTGCACGAGTTACACTGCCCGAATCTCTGTTAGAGGAGTAATACATGTGTTACCCGTGGACATTTCTGTACGTTTCAGCGTCCTTCCCTGGTATCTAGATGGGGTCACAAGGTGGTTCCGAGCATGAGTTCTTAGGATAGATCTGGCTTGAAATCCTGGTGCAACCATGTGGGTCGGATCGTGACTGTGGTCACGTTGCTAAGCTCTTCAGGCTCGGGTGCCTGGTCTGTGGAACGACCTTCGGAAATGCTGCTGGTGAGGACGTGCGTAGC